CAAGCCTATAGCTCCATGACACCTCCACGAAATGTTCCACATTTATTGGTCGATATTTTTTTTCCTCGACATTTTCTTCTTTGTTTTGTTTTACATTCAACGAAATAGAACAATTAAATATATCATTGGATATTGATTGTTTAACCTATCACAGTCTTCAGTATAAATATAAGAGTGTACTGCATGAAAGTTTCGGCATATCACACGAATATATCATAGCCTACCTAAAATGTGCTAAAGAAAATCACATTTAGTCCTCAATCATTCTTTACAGATTTATGTCGATAGGCTTCTATTTCTTCTAGAGAGTACGCAAGATGTATTTAATACAAATTTTTACAAAATATTCCAATTAAACACACAAAAATAAACATTTTCATATTGGTATCGTACTTCATCAAAAAACATCCAAAAATGAAAACTAAATAAAAAACTTCTCTCTATTTAATTAATTTTACGAAAATATGTTTCCTTCGTCAAATGATTTGTTTATTACAATGTTAGTTAGGTGAAGTGTATTTTAATAATTTTAGTCCAGGAAAATATGTAAATAACAATTGAAAAGCTAATGAATTATATTTGATCAATGACATATTCTATAAATAAGAGTAGAACTGTTTTGTTTAAATATGATTCATTTCGCAGTAACAGCATCAAATCGTATTACCAGTTTACAAACAATATACACTTGATAAACTATAAAAATAACCTTAAGGTATGAGTCGAATCAATAAATGTATGTGTATCTTTTCAAAAAAAAAGTCAAAATGTTATTTTATTGTATTTTAACGTTCTTATAATTATTTTTGTTTCTCGCTTGCAACTACATCAATCAAGCTTTCTAAATTGTTTTATATGTAATGAAATTTGAATCATGACACATATTTCAATTTTATCCTTGTAAAAAGGAGTAACATGTTAAAAGGCAAAACGTTTTCAATAGTTAGAAGTTATTTCAAAGACAAATCATATTGTTTTAACCGTTGAAACTCACATTACTTAAGAACCATTTTTCGCGCTTCGTTATCTTCCTGAATAAACATGGTGTATATGTATATTTTTTTTTGTGATATTATAAGGATTTCGCCAATTAGATCCACCTCAAACAACTAAGGTGTCCTTAGCTATATAACATAAGAGTTCATTGACCTCCAAATATTTGCAATACCCTTGTCTCGAGTATTCAATGGGATCGCTACGAAAAAAAATTTATTAGTGCTCCCAAATTGTATAAAACTTTCAAGTTTCGTATAGTATCAGTGCCTAACATTATCTGTAGGATAAGTGTTCTCAATTTCATTTTAAAAAAGTTGCATACACACAGAAGATAATATATTATGCAGTTTTACTACAAAAAAAATTATTGAAACTAATGTTTTCTGGAAAGACGAAACTGATGGCTTAGCAGTAAAATCATCAATTACATTAGATATTGATATATAATTGGTAAGTTTTGCTTTTAAACATCCGACTCATTGACTTTTATTAATGATATTTAAAAAAATTCGTCTTACAAAGAATGTTAAATTCACATGGTCTACAAAAATTGAAAGTTTTATGCAACATAGAAACATTTTTTTCGGATGTTTTAGTTGATACCTCATGAAACACTTCATCTTCAATATACGTTGAAGGAAATTTTTACCTGAAAAAAAAAAACAAACGTCGATGGTAACGATACAGGATTACTTCTGTTTTGTTTTATTTCGTGTTAATGTTTAATAACGATGCGCTCATACATTAAAAACAATTCATTTTTACTTTTGAAATATATGAATTTAAACACGATGCAAATATATTTCTCATTTATTAATTTTGATCATCAACACAGATCTTATTATTTATTTTCACACTTTCCATCGACTTCTAATATTTTAGATTAGAACTAACAGAGCAGCCTATGATAAAATAAATATTTTTCAAGTAAAAAAGTTGAATTTTTTAACTAAAATTTAGAAAATAATTATTATTTAAACATCTATAAGAACTAAAAACTAAAAATTTTGTTGAACTATTGATTTTCATGCAATTTAAGAAGCAAATATAAAGAATAGTTAATAGTTGATTAAAACTTCATCATGTCGATCACAGTTCGTCATTTATCAACATCTTTCTCTGTTTGTCATTGGTCTTATTGATTAATTTTTTCAATTTCTTCACCCGAATAAAATGGACTCCACGTCGTTGTAATCTATTCAATCGACCTTTGATCGTTGGCAAGGAAATACCTCTAGTCGCATCTTGAACAATGTATGTTCTATAATTCAAATTGAAAGCATCAAGAGCCGTTGCTGCTACACAATAATCTGTAGCCAATCCAACAATAAAAACTTGTGTAACATTTTGTTCTTTCAACTTCTTGTTTAATTCAGAATTCTTAATCCCTTGATTATGAACAAATGCTGAATAATTTTCAATATCAGGATCAGTGCCTTTTTTTATATGAATAACTGTGTTTGGCGATGAAATAACATCGAGATCCTTGTGTAATGCTGCATCTTCTGTTTCTTGTATGCAGTGTACAGGCCATAGAACTTGTTTTGTTTTATATTTCGGACCAAGATACTTTACTGTATCGAACACTTTTATTGTTCGATTTTGATTACCTGCTAAATACTGTCTACGAAAGTGAAGATTTTCGAAAAATGATATATGATTCGATGGATGCCAATCCTGTGTATAAACAATAACATCAAATGGAATGGTACGAATTAAATTATTTATAATAGGAATAACTTCAGCACCATCTTGACCAGCGGAAGCTTTTAATAATGAAAGATTTCCATTTATAAAACAATTTTGAACGTCAACAACAATCAATGCATTGACAGATTGTGCCGATTTTTTAACTAGAAAAGTATAAAATTAATATTACACAGTTTTATCTTCTCTTCCTACCTTTCGATGTTTCTGCTACTTTTGAAATGATTATTGTCTTTATTATTAGAATAGTAATAAACCAAAATAAAGATAGTCGATTCATATCGAAAAAAAGTTTCGTCTAGTAAAAAAACTTGAAAATTTTGTGAATTATCAATGAAGATCGAAAAAACGAAACGAAACATTTCTCATTAAACTGATACCTTGATGTAGATGCGTCATATATCACATTTTTTACACTGATCAAACAAGAAGAAAATAAAATACCAAAATGCAGACATCTTTTAGTATCATAGACGTATTTACAAGAAAGAAAAAGTACTAAATATGATTACATAGGACGAAATGAGAGAGAGTAGTTAAAGAGATACTACTCATTCAGTTTTTATAAGCTCTAGGCAAAATATACTCAATCAAAGAAGAAATTCGTTATTTTTATCACTACTTTTTAATGTCACTAGAGATCAAAATGAATGTTTCCAATATCAGTTCGATTCGGTTCATTTTGAGTATCTCTCAAAGTACGTCATTTGTATCTAAAATATCTTTTATTCAAAGTAACAATCAACTAAGAATTGAAATAAACGAAAAATGATAACAAATGACCGAACCTACAAATTTCATCCTACTTCCACCTTTCTACATTTTTAAAACAGCTTCACTCAATAGCTCTAAACTCGAACCTTATAGATCTGCTCTGCATCAGTATAAACAATCTTTTTTCTTCAGAAAATTCGACACATAGTGAACTATGATTTATTATATTTTTCTCTTACATTTCTATGAGACAGGGTAATTATCAAATTTAAATGAACTTCTTGTGATAACTGTTTATTACGGATATATAATTAAAAATTCCATTTCTACCGAAGAAATTGTGACTGAACTTCTGTTCAAATCTAGAGATACAGAATCCGACTATACGCATACGTGCTCGGTACAAACAGATCCATATCGTGATTAATCACAGAGGTGTAATCAGGATTTTTAGACCAATGAGCAAACTTCCCTTATGCCGGAAAAAAAACCAATGGGTAATATGTATCTGTGCAACACACATGAACATTTTCCCAGTTTTGTTTTGATCTTCTGATTTTTGCCGATTGCACTACCTTTTTTTCTTTCTTAATCTTTTGTAGTTTCTGAGTTCTACAGCTACTAACGAATACTTTAATATATCAGTAGATTTTTGCGTTGTTGAGCTTAAGAATGAATGTTAATTTTTATTTTGAACGATTTTGTAAACATATTTTAGCTGACAAACATTTGTTGAAGGAGATTTTGAACAAAGAAAATCTTGAAAATAATATGGGATTTATGTTCTATAGTCTTTACTACTTTTCGTAAATAGAGTTTTGAACTTCGTAAAAGAATCCGACATTAGGTATCTTCAAATGAATGCTCTCACTCACAGACCAATTAGTTTAAAACATGAATTGCCAATAGCATACACAGACCGAGATGTTTACATTTCAAGATATTTACATTTTTATCATGTACCTACACTACGAAATTTCATCAACACTTAGTTTTCTTTTCTTTCGTCATCGTTGGATGGAACATGACTATTTACATGAGGAGAAAAAAAAATCACACATTTTCAAAAGTAATTTGATAGCAATTAAAATTTTTCGTTTATTACCCTTATAATTAAGAAAATATTGTCTTAGACTCCATAGAATTAGCTTTTTAATATGTGTGATATTGTTTTCTGCTTATGTAAATGATCGTACTCCATCCAACCATGACGAAAAAAGAAAACTAAGTGTTGATGAAATTTCATAGTGTGGACACATAACAAACTGTAAAAATTTCTTGAAACTCGATTATCTCGATCTGTGTACACTATTGACAGTTCATATTTTTAATTAGTTGGTTTAACAGCAAAAGCATCCATTTGATCCAATTATGATTAATCTCCTTCGCTTACAGCATACAATCTTTCATTCTAAGTTATATAATGTTTACATGGTCTTTCTTTATTATGAAATACTTTTGGAAATAAAGTATGAGTCGATAAACAAAAAAAAAACGTGAAACATTTTGCGCAAATATGTCAACATGTTACTCTTTCCGATTTCGAAGAAAAAATTCTGACTTTCAAGTTTTTCATTTGGCAATCCTGGTTAATATACCACAAGCGATTCTTTCCTTAATTATTCACAGAAAGAAGAAGCAAAAAACAGTTACTATCTAATTCAAAAATAAATAAACCATTCTGAAAAAATAAAATTACAATGGGCAAATCTCCAAATGAAATGGGCAATTGTTCATTTGTTCCCAACCTTAGCTACGCTGCTGATTAATCGTATTTCAGACAAAAATCATTCATTAAATCAAATTTTATTTAGAGATAGGTAGATTTTCTATGGAATTTTTTCATATAATCAACGAAATTAAAAAGACAAAGAATGGTTTAATTTCGGTATGAATGTCACTATTGTGACATAAACGAGATTAAACTTCTCGTTGATATTCATTTGTTTTAAAACATATCTTAGTGATAATAAATAATTTATTTTAGATACGTTTTCAGATTATGTATTTTTTTCAATTAGAATCTTTTTCATCTGAGATTCAGTTTTAGATGATTCTATTAACATCGGATTAATATAAAATTGTAAATTTCTCTTTTAGATTTTTAATTTATAAACAAAAAATAAATATGCAAAGTGTTTCTCGAAAAAAAAAACCTAGACTGACATCGATTTTTACATATGAACATTTCATTCAATTTTTTTTCTAAGCTGTTTCTTCTAACTATGTAAAACTGTACCGCACATTATTTTTTTTTTCGTTTTTGTTATATATTGTGTTCGTGTACAATGATGTAAACATTTAATTTTTTAATAAAAATATTCCTTAATTTAAATCAATAATAGGTCCTGAATATAACAATAAAAATAAATGTGGAAACCTCGGATTTAAATCCGAGAGTTATGTGTACTTCAAAAAGTGAATCAGACAGGAGTCACCCTAGAATGTGTGAACATCAAAATTGCCCTGGCAAACCCTTTCTGTAAACACTTAATTTCTATTGGCTATTGCTCGGTCAATACGATTTGGAGGCAAATACAGCTCAGATTTGAACTCTTCACCTTGATTTACCCTAAGAAACTCGTTTTTCCTATAACTCGATTTCTATTGGTCACTGCTCAACCAATGCGATTTCGAGGCGAATGGAACATAGATTCGAGTTCTCCATTCTAGAAAACCTCGAACTATTATCTCTGTGATGGGAAGATAGAACTCTAATTGTGGATCATATAGAGCGTGGACAAAAACAGAACCGAATTCCGATTAATTATCTTTGCAATAGGCGAGTTAGCTTTCTTGTTTCTTTATGTTTTATATACCATTTTGTAGCTCGTGAAATTCTCTATCGAATAGTATATAATAGTTGGGGTTTTATCTGACTATGATAGGAAAAGTTTTTTATGAAAACAGAGAAGGGTCTATCTTCTCATAGGGAAAAATGACTATTTTTCCAATAACTCAGCAATGGTTCGGCCAATCATTCTCATCTTCGAACTCGACCGAGACATTGTTAAGACTGAACTGTGCAGAAAATTTCATCGCGATTGGACTCTCCTTTCAAAAGTTATCGTGTTAACGGCCGGACGGCCGGACGGACATACTGACCGATTCTAGAGTGTACTCACTTTTTGAGTACACAAAAATACTGAATAATTATCGCAACTAAGAAACGGTTTGTATTACTGAATATATATTCTTGTCAAATCTCGATCATCTCTTTCAACTATCATCTCAAATGGAACAAATAAAAAAGATTTTCTTCTGAATTTCATATCGCTAATGACTTCTCCGAAAACCTAAAAATATAGTACTTTTGACATGAGATTTATGACAAACGTAAAGAAAAAAAAAAGGTAGCTTAACGTTCATTGCCTTAGTTTAGAATCGTGTTCTTCTTTTTAAATAAGAATGGATACTCTATAAAATGACCGATGACCTTTTTCTTTCCTTTCTATGTTCAATATCTATTCACAAAAGATATGAATTCAACGAATAGGAAAGCAGTAAATGATCACTATAATCATATAGAAAGGAAATGAACGTATACATTCATCTAGGAAAAAGTGAAATGAAGTCATCTGAAATAATATATTAATTTTCTCTACATCTAAACAATAAATCTAAAGAATAATGAAGTAGACTAGTTGAATTCTGATTCCGGCTTTTTGATAATAGATGTCTGTATATGTATGTGTTTATAATAGACTATATGAATTGAAATGAACACAGTTAACTCGGTAACAATTATATGCATTTTCAAAGAAAATAAAATCATTGATAAGAGCAGCTTGAGAATGGATGTGGATGCGGATACACTTCTCTTCTTCGACAACACACCCACACTCCTTAAATGCGTAAGCTGATAGATACAGTACTCTTTGGAATTTTTCATACAGTGTTATTGATAGCATGTATGATCAACTTTCTTCAATGACTGGTATCTTCTTAAATTTTAATCATTAGACGAAGAAAACTTTATTAATCAGTTAATCCAATAAATAAATAAAGTAATTTTCTTTTCTTTTCTTCATATCTGAAGATTCTAACAAGTTATGGCTTTACTTTCTACTATATAATATGTTGATGTGTGCTAAAAATCTGTATCATAATATGACAAAAATTATAAGAATACAACTTATTTGAATTCATAGAATATGAACAAAAGAAAATAAAATTATTTTTTTTGTTTTTTACTGATTAATTTTGTCTTTTATTACGGAACAGTAGTAGCGATAAGGTGTGGGTGTAAATCTACCACTCGTTCACACTCATACCTACACTTTCAATTGATAATTTAAGGTCGATTCTACTTCGAAATTACAATGAATAGGGTATTTAATACTAGCTTTATAATGAAATGGTTACTTTATCGGCTATTTTATTTTATACCACCCATCAAACTCAATTAGATACAATTCTTACAAAAATATCCAGCAGTGAGAAAAAGTAATTTGTTTTCAATTTATTTATTAAACCAATTACAACTAAAAATAGTCTAGCTCGAGGCACGCAATATTTTTAAATTCATACTTGAACCAAAGAAAAATACACATACAAATGAGGGAT